CTTTGTGGGAACTGCCTAGTCTTAAAACTACTTTAAGAAAAACTGATATTATTCCTGCACCAAGTAAAATAAGTTAAACCCGATTTTCCTTAACATAAAACTATCAAATAAATGCAGATGTCGTTTTTATCCTTGGTAAAAATTTCTTCATAAGTTATCGAAATAGCATCATCCGTAAATAGCATTTTAAATTACTTTCATGATTAATTGATTTATTTATTATCATCTCACATCATATATATATATACATACACATACATACCTATCCCAAAATACCCTAAATACAAAAGAATGCAATGATAATATCTTACAACCGTACAACCGACTCCTGGAGATTCTTTTTATTTTGGAAAGTTTTTGGAACGTGAATTTTAATGGGTTAAATAATATTATTCTTTGGTTAAATATCACGGATCTCACATTTAATGCTTCTGAATATAATGCCATAACAATGCGTGCATGAAATCAATTACAGACCTTTATTATGCATAAAATTTTGATAATAGCAATAAATAATAAACAGAATATAGTCCACTCAGTTACTTTATTGATGAAACGAGCATGATTGGACATGCAATTGTCGACAAGAATCTCTATTATTTAACGGCACCATCTAGCAGTTGTATGCATACTTGAAATCGTCATTTAGAAAGAGAATGTATTTGAAAATTGATTCACACATGTGTTGCTAAAAAATTATTGTTGTTGAATAAATAGTTTTATACATGGAGGTTCTCTAGACACATCAGATACACGGTGGTTCAAAACGTTTGGTATTATATTGATCTCTATCCAAACTACAATAAACAACCTTACATTGAATCAATTATGGACAAGTAAATTTGAGTTAAAAATCTTTACCCTTATTCTGTCATCATATAACTTTTCCAAACTCATAACCTGTTGTAGAAATAAATATTTATGTAAAACAAAATATTATTATTATTGGCACTTGGTGTTGCACAAAGATTTTTTTTGTTGACGTGAATTGATTGGAAAAACAATATTATTTTTCAAAGATGACAAAACATGAGTTGTTTGGTGTATGGTTCTGAATACATGTTAATAACTAACCAGAAATACTATTTTTTTATTTGCATTGATATGTGTATTTTACTTTTTTTTTATTTGCATTGATATTTAGTTATTATAATAGATAAAACAAACCATCAATCCTTGTTTGTTAGAATTCATTGAGTTAAAAATCGCGTGAAATGATTGATTTCCTGAGTTATATATATCCTATCTCAATTATATTCAAAAAGAGAATATGTATTGCGAAAGTTCAAGAGATTGTTAATGATTTATCTTCTGACTGTTGGTCTTGCATAACTAAGAATCCTTTAACAAGAATTATATCGCTTGTAATTATTCTTTTGTCTGAAAGTGCTTTATTGAACCACATCATCAATGCACTTTCAATATCGGGATACTTTGCAGTTTTGCCTATTGGTATCATTAGGGTTGATGGATAGCCATTTATCTTATAATCCCGCAAAAATCATCCGCAAATCGCCAACCCACCAATAAAATTAGATGTTTTCATGATGCTGCGTAAATTTGCGGAAAAATACATGATTTTATCTTTAAAATGTTGCAACGGTAGGTTCTGCGGTTCCGAATTTTTTGGCCAAATTCATTATATTAATATGTGAATGATGGATTCCTTCCATTAAATCCATAAAGTTATTTTTTTCTTGCCCCAAGTCAAAACTTTTCTTTTTTGTTTGATTGATCCAGGGTGAGAAATCCTATCATAAAATTCCGGGAATTCCCGATATTTTTGATCGCACATTTCGCACCCTGGATTGATCAATTGATGACAATTTTATTTTTTCATGAGAAAATGATTTTTAGCTGAAATAATTTTTTATAAAAAACAAAAAGTATTATATCCTAGTTCTTTTATTTATAAGGAATTCACAATTACTTTATTCTTCTAAATTCGATTACTTATTTTTCGTGACGCATCACTAAATTCAATTACTTTGTTTTTCATGATAACTTTCTAAAAAATAATTTTGGGACAAATTCATAATAATAATAATAAAATTTGGATTGATAATACAATTAATGATTCATTATATCAAATTCTGGTTAATATAATGGCATCAGGTAAAACCTCGTTATATGATTATATCGAGAGTTTATATTAAAAAATCACTATATCGAGCAGAATTTATATAAAGAAATAGGAAACCCAACCCAGTTATATCGTACAGTAGACCACTATATCGAGTGTCAACTAACTCTAAGGTGTTTTTATTAGCATATATAAAAATTCTAATCATTAAAACAAAATTACGTGATCGGACAAAAATAATTCTAAATTTCTTCCTTCCAAAAAGGAGACTAAGCTAATTAAGAACAATAGTTTCTTCGCTCGGGTTTTCTTTGCCAAATCTTTTATTTTGGAAACTTCCAGCTATTGAATGTAAATCATTAACAAATTTGGAAGACTAAAAGCTTGAAGGGCGCAATACGCGCAACACCGATCTATCCATAAAATGATTTTATCTTTTGCTGTTTATTGAAAAAACAATTATTGCGAAAAGAACCAAAGAAAGTAATAATGCTGTAGCCCAATACTCTTAATTTAGAAAACTGAAACTAGTTTAGGTTTGGGCTTGGAGCAAATTCTCACCCGAAACCGTTTAGAGAAGTTAAAATGAAAAAAAGGTTACAAGATTTTTATCTGTCTATTACTGCATAATTTTAATAATTTTATTAGATGCTTATTTAGGGTACCATATAGGGATTGATTTTAATTTGTTCTCATAAACAACTTTATCATTAACAGTTGTCGAGTCAACAAATTGAAATTTTAAATAATCATCATCATCTTTTATGGTGAAGTGTAAGAAACCAAATGTACCTTCTGGCATGCCCCAATCCTTTTCGCCTGGACATCCTGAACTTGTTCTACTAGCTGCCCCGGAAATAAATCGAGCCAATTTATTTGAGCTATTTGAATCTGGTAATTTTAATTCTAATACATGTGCGTGACCTGATAAATAAGCTATGACACGATATTTTTGTAACAAAGATAATAATTCTGGCATGTAATAAGTTTCTGAGCAATCTCCAATTAACGGATGATGTCCTATAAAAAAAATTTTTTTTAGTATTCAAAGAATATCCGCAATTGCCAAATTGATTTCTAAATATCCCAACCTGCTGACAAAATTGCAGTTGCGGATATCTTTTACATATAATAATTACCAGCTACAAAAATCCATTTAACATCTTGAAATTCAATCAATTTCTCTTCAATCCATCTCAACTTTTCCTCAATTTTATTTTCCTCGTTAACATCCCAACCAAAATATTGGAAATTTTTCGCAAATTGAACATTTTCATTGATATTTTTATATTTGTAGAAAAATAAATTGGTGTCGATGTGAATCCATGCTATTTCTGTCTTCTTTTGTCCGAAGGTGGTCAATCGAGCATAGAATAGTGAGGGTAGAAAGAATCTTGAGTTTTTTGTTAAGCTATACTCTATCTGAGCGTTTATATCATTGTACCTATGAATCAATAATATTAATATGTTAATTTTAGCATTAATATTCGCGAAATTTCTGGAAAAAATAAGTCAAAATTGACTTACCAATCATGATTTCCGGCGACGCTATACCAAGGTATCTTGCTTAATTTATCTTTATAAATATTCAACCAAGTAGTATTCCATTTTTCATCTTCAACGCTCTCGACACCTTGATAATCATCTTTATTACTTTTATAAAAACTATCTAAATATTGCGAAAAATAATTTTTTTGAAAAATTGTTATTACATCAATAATTTTTTTGAAAAATTGTTATTACATCAATAATTTCAATTGCAATGACAAAAAATTTTTTTTAACTAACCGCCAACATTTATAATGAATTTAGTATCATGTAAATTAGCATATTTTTCTAAATTTCGAGCAACTTTCAATTGATCTTCGCCGTAAAAAGTGTTATTATCAGTTTTTCCTTGATAACCCCAATCACCAATAACTTGAAAATTTATATAATCGTCCTCTATATAATACTCTTTGAATATATCGTTTGATACATCCCTTATTTTTATGTTTTTATTATCTTTATTTTGTGTCGGTAAAGCATCTACAACTATATTCAGTCTATAGAATATTATAATACTAATTATTATCAATATTATTAACGTTATTTTACAACTATATGTAATTTTGAATACCATCTTTACGATTTTTAAAAAAAAATTATTTTTTTTGAAAATAAGAAAAATTCTGTATGGAGAATTCTTTATTATTCATATTTTCAAACATTTATTTATACTGGTATTGCAATTCCAAATTAAAAAATTTGCCAATTAAAAGGGATTTTTGCACTTGAATATTTAAATAATAGTTTCAATCCATAATACAAACAGCGCGTGGCAAATACTAGTATATTATTGGCTAAACTGTGAAGTTTAATTAAAAATCCAATGCAGATAGATCATCTTAATTTTTCGATCAAAATGGTATGCTCCAGGATAAAAATAAATCATTGTCACAATCTATTATTCACTTAATTAATTAATATATATTTTCAAATTATACTATTAGAGGAAAAATTTTTACATGAACATATATTAATATTATTTCCTTAAAGGATGTTCAACCGCATAATTTATTTATATATGAACCTTCTTGGCAAAGACATTCCTTGGCTAAATTGTTTAAATTGATATTTCAATGATTTGATGTTCATTGTGATAATTAAGATCATAGAATACGTTTTAAACTACCAGAACTATAAAAGTAAAAGATTTATAACCTATGATCACTATCATTACTAACAGAAACGGGAAAACACTGTTGTTAAAAAGTGCTAGTGATAGTAACTTTCTACGTCACAGCGCCAACTTGAGAGGGAAATTCATAATTTACGGTTACGTGATTTTTGAAGTTGTTGAAAAAGGTGAATGAGTGAGTGTTGCACATCAAAAATCCCAAAAATTTATTTTAAATTTTAAATTTTTTGCGTTACATTTAATGGAATGTTATGCGGTGATGTATTATTATTATGTTATACACAGCTTTGTGTTTTTGATTCTTCTATTTAATAATTTAACTCTAAACAGGAATCTGCAGAGGAAGTTTTATTAATTGACCATTCGTCTATTTAATAAGTGAACTCTAACAGTCAAACGATATGTGACAAATCGTTCGAGTATCAGCAGAGAAAGTTTTATTAATTGACGACTTTTGTGTTTAAAAAAAATGGTACTACAAAATAATTTTTTTTATGAAACAAATGTCAAAGAACATATTTATGCATATTTTTTTTTAAAAAGAATATCGAAAACAAAGGGTTGCTCTTGGAATAATATATAGCCTCTATGTCATTAAAATTAACTGTTGTATCCACCTAATGATATTAGTATCCACCGATTATTCGGATAATCGATCATTCACCAAATATCCGCCTAATACTAATATCCACTGGATATCCATTGAATATGATATTCATTGATTTAAATTTACTTAAAAAAATATAATAATAAGTTTAATGACAATTATTTATTCATCAAGAAAGATATTTTCAATACATTGCAAAGTAATACGATCCTTTCAAATAACAATGTATTCAACAATTTTGTTCGTTTAGCTGTCATCGTGTTTCCGGCTTCATTAAATAGACGCTCACTTGGAGTAGAAGTTGCTGCAATGCATAATTGTTTTTTTAGCTAATAATGACATAGTTGGGTATTCATATTACTTGTCATTATATTGTTACAATAGAAACAATGTTGATGATAGTGTAATAGTGGATAAAATGGTATTTACATTATTAAAAAAAAATTTCATTCATAATTTTTATTTTTTATATTGTGTACCGATTAAATTTTCAACACCTGATTTAATTAGCCAATGAAAAATTTCAACACAACCACTGATTAAAATAACAAAATGATTTTTTCAGTAACTCAAATGATTTGAACTTTTATTCAAATAAAACTATTTCGTAACTTTGAAACTGTTTGAAACTCCAAAACTATTTTAAAACTTTGAAATCATTTCAAAACTCTAAAACTTTAAAAAAAGCAAATGACATCATGAGAAAAAGTTTAATTAAATTTTTTGATTTTTGAATTTTATCAAGTGATTGGATGATTATTTTTGCAGATCATTAACATTAAAGATATATTCAAAGTTCATACCTAATTCAAGAGTTTGCCTTTTGAGTTTGGGTGGCAAGTATAATTTATATAATTAATGTATTAATATTAATAGTAAAAGGATCAATATTTCGCTCATTCATAGACAGATTGTCGTCAAATTAAACCATATGTCAATCACTTGATTTTTAATAAAAGATGAATATTAGTATGATGATTGTGACCGACCCGAATAATTATAATTGGTGAATATGGGGTAGTGATCTCGTAAAAATTTGGATTTTTTTAAAAAAGGAAACTATCTTATATACTAATATACCAGTTCAATTATAATTATCCGAGGCCCTAATATGAAGAAGATAAGAACTGAAAAAAGTAAGAGACCAATCAATACCTTTTTCCCACAGAAAAAATTCACCAATCAACTTTCGAGATTCGCATTAATATTTACATAGTTTTCCCAATACTGTCGGAAACCTACCGATCTTCATCACAAAGAACTTTGTACATTGATATGTTCCCGTTATTCAAATGATCCTTGTTAATGGTGTTATAGGAGCTGGTTGGAGCAATAGTATTTTTAATAATAAGGGACATTTGGGAAGAAGGATTAAATGTGAAAATATGGGTTCCGATGCACTTGGTATTGTGGATTTTATGATTATTATAAACAAAAGATGTCAAAATGTTCCTTGAAACCTTAAGTAAATGAGTCTTTGTAAGTAACTTTTTTTTTTTTTTAATTAATTAATTTGATGCTTAAGTGAATGTTACACGTGTAGGTAAATAAATCATGGAAACAAAAAATATTGAAAAGAAAATAGCACAATATAAAAGTTTCTTACATGACAAGTTAGAAGTTGATTTGAAGAAAACTTGGGAATTACGTGAAAAGATTTATGAGGAAATTTCAGAATAGTATTGTTTTAATTATTATTATTATTATTATGAATGGAAAAATGATTGGTTTTTTAACCTTTTTAAACATGCTCTTTCTCTTTCTCTTTATTAATATATGTTTTCATCAATAAAAAAGTGTTAAATTAAGAAACAATATTCAATTAATGAAGTCAAGCAAATTAAATCAACTTAAAACTATGGTTGATTTAGGTTCAAATTTTTATGTTCAAGCAAAAGTGTATGTAATCTTACTATTTACTAGACAACAATTTTTTTTGTTTCTAAATATTTACATACACGTACATATAAATACGTATGTGCAGACCTGATACTACTTATATTTATGTTAACGTTGGATTTGGATTTCATCCTCAACTAACATTGGATGAAGCAATCGAATTCATTGATAAAAAAGAAAAAACGTTACAAAGGTGACCAAATTAAATAAATAGTAGATTGATTGATCTTATTATCTATGTTTATGTTTATATATATATATTTCAATCTTGTAGAAAATCTGAAAAATACACTGATGATATAGCAAAAATTAGTGCACATATTGCAATGGTACAAAACATTCAAAATCGATAGTGATATATGTTTATATAATAACCTCTGACTTATATTCTTCAATTAGGTTCATGAAGCCATAGCTGAAATTTTATATTTACAAAAAGGTGAAGAAATACCAAAACGTGATGACCTATTTATATAGTAGATAATAAAAGGTAGCTTTTTTAATAAATAAATAATAATTTACTGATTTAATGGATGAATGATTCTTTGCTAAATATATAAAATTAAAAGAAAAAATTTATCACTATGAAATATTATTAGTATTTATTTTTTTATATCTTTCTTTAAATTGTCGAGGATTTGGTACTACTTGTATTGCTTCCCAACACATACTATTTGCATGTTCAATTTCATTATTATCGATAAGAAACTTTATATATTCCAGCCAAAGATCTACAATCACAATTATTAAGGAAAAATTTTTCATTAATTCCAATTCAAAAAATAAAATCCCTTCCCCAAATATATATATAAAATAATAACCATCTGGTGCATCTTTTGAACCACATGCTTGCTCATAAACCCATTTTAAATTTTGTATGTTATCATTGTTATTGTTGTTGTTGCTGCTGTTACCACTAGATGAATCTGTATGTGTTTTCTCTATATTTATACATGTTTGGTAGAATGAAAGTGGTAACAATGTTTTTCTAAATAAGCTGTTAAATAGATTTAATTAGTAAAAAATAAATAAATAATAAATGTTTTTTATAAATTTATATATTTTTTCACCTTTTATATAATGCACGAACTTTTTCAATGCCACCTACTTCCATTGACCATTTAAGATATTGATCAGTAACCTTTTGTTTTATTTGATTTAATTGATTATAATTTTTATTTACACTACTAACAAATGGCATAGATGATATTTTAAGAGTTGATGACTATAGTTTATTGAAATAAATAAATTAATTAAAAAATTTCAGAAAAAATCATTAAATCCTCATAACACATAACATACCATTAAAAGATTTTCCATATCGTTATCGCTTATATTTCTATTTTTCCATGAATTATGAATCCAATTAAGATAGGAATCCCATAATACTGAAGAAATTGGATTCTTTTCCATGGAAATTTCATACAATTTTTCTGTTGAAAAATCTTGATTTCCTTCTTCAAATGATATGTTATCATTAATCCTGATTCTTCTATTCCAAAGTTCTGCGCAATTAGGATAAATATCAGTACTTCTTTTGGCAATTTGTTTCAATTCGGGTTCTTTTCGACTTTCTGGCAACAACATCCAATCAATCCAATCAATATACAATTTCTCTGATGCTAAATTTGATTCATTGGCAAATTTGTAAATTTCAATTAATTTATCTGTAAGATACACATGCTTTTTTTAAAAAAAAAAAGGAAAATTAGTGCCAAGGAAAAATCAAAAACCATATTCATAAAAGATTTCTTACTATATTAGGTAATTTAGAAACTTTATCTATATATTTCCTCATAAATTGAGTATATAAATACACGATTTCTTTATTTTTTGAAGTCTAAAAATTTTTCATATTAATTGTATAAATATGATACAATAATTTCCATAACTGGAATATATATATATATGTATATAATATCAAATTTCAACTAACCTGAATATATTTATCAAAATCATTAATACTCTTTTCTATGGCAGACATGAATTCTACACTATCATCAATTTCTAAAATATCTGATACATGTCTCTCAGCAATATAAGTTTGAGCTTGTGGATCATTCCCAAAGTCTTTATCAATGCTATTAAAAAAGATTTTTTTAAAAATAAAAAAAATCCTTGCAATTGAATTCAAGAAAATATGATATTAAGAAAATTACCTTGAGTAAATCTCATTTTGAATTTTTTCAACATCAGTAAATTCACGTGTTATATTAATAAATTGTTGACGAAAGCTTAGATTATTTGGAATATCTAAATAAATATGACCTATTAATTATGCTTACATTGATATGAAGCAATTAAGAATCAAATATAATTAAAGAAAATCTTACTTTTGATCGCATTAAAGAATATTACTATGGAAATATCACCTTGCAACACTCTATTATTATCTTCCTTTAATGAATTTATTTGATCTTTATCAAGATGCATATCTGAATTTTCATCTTCTGACAGTATGTCTTCACCAGTTAATTTCTGTAGCATAATCACATTTTCAGCATTTGGTTTTTCTTCTACCTCTACTTCTTCTTGTTGTTCTGATGATGCTTCTGCTATTGCACTAGATGAGATTCCTAAGATTCTACGACGCTTCTTTATTTTTTCAATATACATTAATTCCAACTTAAAATATTCATGCCAAAATTGAATTGTTTCTGGATTAAAACGAAGACCTCGTTGCATTAAAACTTTATATATATATTTGGTGATTTTTGTGATTAAATATATTAATTAATTATTATTATCAAGAAAAGATAATCACAAATTAATTTGCTGCAAATACCTCTAGAGGCAGATATATTAGCATTTTCTTCGAATTCCCATTTTGCTGCAAGAATCCAAAATATGGGTTTGGTAGGATGTGTTTGTACAGCACTTTGATGAATGAATAAATAATAATGTACAAATTATAAAATCATATATACATATATATCATCATTATCATTATAATAATATAACCAACAAATATTTATTTATCTACCTACCTTCCAAAGATCTTACCAATCAACTTTGTTGCGCCAACAGATTTAGCAAATTCTATATATTGTAACCATAATTCTATATCACCGTGAAATTTTGTAATTGCTCGATTATAAAGATTAAATATTCTTCGTGTTAATGAATAATCTGATAGCGATATTTTTCCTTTTATACCTTTTGCAAAAAAAAAGAACATTAAAGATTATTCTTATATGTTCAGATCTCTAAATATATAAATTCTATAAACAATAATAATCATAATTGTAATTCTACCAAAACGTTGTTTTCTTTTTCTACGTTGTTGTTCTAAATCCTTTTCATATTCTATATAATTCACAAAATCTATTTTTCTAGTTGGTCTTCTTTTAAGAGCATATTCAAAATGTGTTCTCTTTTTGACAATATTTTTGATTTCAGCCTAAAACATTCAAATAAAAACTTTTCAATAATTAATACAAATATATGTAATGAATTCTTGTAGTGAAAAATAATATATGTATACATTAGAAAATAATTCTTTTCTTTCCAAATCTTCGAGCTCGGGTACCATTTGTTCAAGATAAAATTGTACTGTTTCTGCCATGATGATTTCTACAAAAAGTTTTATCGGTTATTTTATTGATCGATCAACGAAAATCATGGAAAAAAAATAATTACCGTTTTTTTTGGTTTACAGATTTTGTAATACTGTCAGGGATATTTCCAAATATGGGAATCGAATCTGGAAAAATTGGAACACTTTTGCCGATCAATTCATATGTTGCAAATTGGCGTGATTGATACTTGTGCTTATGAAAAAAAATTTTTAAAAACAAAATTTTGATTATAATAATTGAAATGAATTCTTTTGAATATATATTTTAAGAATCCACTGGGATCCACACAACTTTATACACTAGTTTTTTTTCTTACATGGAGCATACTGCAACAAAACCAGACAAAGTGAACATTGGCATTACAAAAAATTTCAGGGGCAATAGTGTCTGTTTAATAAGGCTCCCGAACATATCAGAACAGATTTCTAGTAAATTGATCGACATTTCTCTCAAAATATAAAATATTCGAAATTTAGATTTGGGAATGTTTGTGTATGTTGTATGTGAAATTGAAATTATGTGTTCCATTGGTCGATGATTTCCTTTTTTGGCAAAGGACTTCTTCAGTCCTCGCAATATTAAATATTATATTCATATTAAAAGAACCCAATGTCTTTGAATCTAATTTTGACTACTTCAGATTTGGCAATGAGAAATGATTTTTTTATTCATGCATTTAACAATTTATTTAATTAAAAATTTACAAGGTAATTAATTTCATTAAAATATTAAATTTTTTTTTTATCAATTAGCATATGTAAACACATAAATACCAACAATAAGAATAATAAGTTATAAGTATTTCTTGGTTATATATATAGTAAATATGACTGTTAATTATTTTCATAATCTTTAGGTGCTTTTATTTTCCTTTTCCTTGGTGGCAAATGTGGTGTTTTCATAATGTTTAGAGTAGTGATTTTAGCCGTTTAAAAATCCTTAGCCGGCTAAGCCGTTTACTACCTAAATTGGTAATTTTATTTCTATAACAAGAAAGTAACGCAGAAATCTATTCCCAAATTTAGAAATTATGCATGCAGATTATTAGCCGGCTAACATCACTAGTTTAGAGGACATCTTGGAGGAGGAGTTCCAATGTCAATATTGATAAGATTGTTAAGCTTATCTACCAAGTTGTTTACCAATCCCTAAATAATTGAATCAAATAAGTGAATGAAAACATACCAATATTATTATCTGATAGAACAAACAAGCTTACTCTCAAGTTCCAAGCACATTTAATTGCTATTTTTAAACTATGGTAAGATGTGAAAGTCAAAGGCATGTGAAATCTTCTGCAAAGATGAAAATTGTATAATTCTTGTTTGTCCATAACATAGATTGATATCTTATTTAAATAAATCTAAAGCAAAAGGATAGAACACATTATTTAATATTCTATGTAAATTAATTCTATTAATTATTGTAAAGTTGTACCTGAATGCCTAAAACATAAAGACCAGAATCATTTATTGCAGCTTCATGAAACTTGATAATCAAGCTATCTAACATATCTTCATAACTCTTTTAAGATGGAATTCATCAGATGCATGTTTGGTAAAGTCAGCTTTGTATGGTCTGCCACAGTTTAATAAACACACTGCAAGTGTACAAAATACAGCTCATGATGTGTCCAATAAATATATAAGATAAAATAAATATAAAATTCCAATATATAAATCCCCCTGTATCAGCACACAGCTCAGGGTTCTCAATTCTCTATCTCAGGCCTTTGTATCGGCATACAGCTCAGAGCCTACTCAAACTCTCTATTGTGCAATTTCTCTCTCTACAGTACTAATGCTAAGTACTGCTGGCACAAGCCTAAAATAAATAAATGAAATAAAAAAGAATATATACAAGAAATATTTACAACTATACCACTTGATGCATCCTTAC